TGTAAATATTAAAAATCATATCCATACTGGTTAAATATGTATCAATCTTAACCCATTAAGTGCCGTATGTATGTGAACCATATTACCAGTTACGTATATACAGATGCGTGTGCTACTGTGTAATAATATGTGTATTTATAACAGATGTTGATATACTGCTTGCTATGTGAATTGTTGTATGCCTTATTGAATGGTCAGTGAACATGGTGTTGCAAAATGCAAGTGCACTGGAGATCTGCCGAGTGCCCTATAGGTGGCAGTGTAGTTGATACTGATTGGAATGTGAAATGTCTGTTGACCTATAGGGGTCAGTGTTTTGGTGTTTGTAAAACCCCATGAGAATTGTCAATGTACTTGACAGACCTGTAGGTGGCAGTGTTGATAGAACCACTGTTAGTCTTGATGTGAAATGTAAATTATTGTGAATTAAACCTGAAGTTGAGCCAGTGTTGGAGTTTAATTCATGGTTTATGGTTAAAAACAATCTTATGTGTAATTTATATTGGCTGGTAATTGTATATGACATGTGAAGACAGTTTTGCTGTTGACCAGTAGGGGTCAGAAATGCTGATTGCATGGTAAAATACCCTTTAACCCCTGAAGGATACATGACATGTGTGACATATCATGATTCCCTTTTATTCCAGAGTTTGGTCCTTAAGGGGTTAATCCAAATGCAAGGTTAATGTGAGATTTTGAGAGTGACCTGCAGGAGTCAGTGTGGTTTATGTGAAACATTGCTTGTGAGCTATGCCCCAGTATTATAGTTGTATGACAGGGAAACAAACAGTGCCCGTTTGACAATATACAATAAGTGAACATAATAGCTTAATAACAGTCATTGTAACAAACCAAAGTTCTGTTCATGGGTTGTAAACGCACGAAACGTGTGTGTAGTACAATAGCAAATGCATGAACTAGTTCCCGTTTGGTAGAAAATTGCACGAACCGTGAGCCTGGTATGTCAGGGAAACAAAACGAAACGAGCAGTGAGATTCGAAATGCACGCACAGAATTGACTAGTATGTTTAGGCAATTGAAACAGAATGTGTTCCCGTTTGGAAGTATGCTAATGCTCGAAATGAGCCAGTGACAGATATAAACAAGTGAATTTAAACGAATGATATGCATGAACATGCAATGGTTTTAGGATAGATTTAGACAAAATGCAGCCATAAAGTGAGGACCTGACCCGTGCATGGTGCCGTGGGACTGATGCCTGGTGTAACGGGTAGGTCGACTTACGGTTTGTGAGTCACTTGGACACCATCCACAGCGATAGATTGAAGAAAGAATGTGGAAGGCCGGAAAAGCCTGTGGCTGAATTCCTGACACAGCTCAGCTTAGAAAACCTCATGGAGTAATCAGGTAAAATGGCGTCTGGATGACCCGGAAGTGGAAATCATTCTGATGCTGACCTCAAGCGATATGAGTCAGGTAAGGGGTGTCCCTTATATAGGGAAGTGAATTAATTTAAGCCCCTCCCACAAATACAGGCCAAACGGCCTTAAAACATATAATATAGATATATATAGATATATATAGAGAGATATATATAGATAGAGAGATATATATATATATATATATATATATATGAGATATAGAGATATATATATATATATGAGATATAGAGATATATATATATATATGAGATATATAGATATATATATATATATGAGATATATAGATATATATATATATATGAGATATATAGATATATATATATATATGAGATATATAGATATATATATATATATATGAGATATATAGATATATATATATGAGATATATAGATATATATATATGAGATATATAGATATATATATATGAGATATATAGATATATATATATGAGATATATAGATATATATATATGAGATATATAGATATATATATATATATATATATATATATATATATATATATATATATAGATTGAGCACTCAATGGATTTATCAAGATGTTGATCAAGACCGCTAGACGGTCGAAACGTTGATTAGTATGCGTTATATTTAATATATTGATTTCTAAATCCATTGAGTGCTCTCAATTCTTTCGGTTTATATTTTGCACGGAGAGGCATCTGGTAATTGCTGGATGCGATTTATTGATTATTATTTTTGGGATGAGTGCCAGAAACTGTTGAATTTTGTGTAATATAAATATATATATATATATATATATATATATATATATATATATATATGACTTCACATACCATTTTATGTACCACTATGACTACCTCCTGCATATGTGGATTATTTATATTCGGACTTTTTAGGTATCGCTGCTCGTACTCTCTGATATATATTTTTTATATATTCTTTCTACTTGTCTTAGGCGCACCCTTATTTGTTCTTTTCTCTCCATTGTATTCCAAGGGACTTAGAGGGGATTCCCCTTTTCCATGGGTGAGCTGCCTTGCTGTCATATTCTCTGTTTTCCTATCAGCGCTGAACCTCCTTCCTGATCTCGATATATATGGTATATATATGGTATATATATATATATATATATTATAAAAAAAGTAACAAAAAAATTATATATGTAATTGCATTCTAACTATTATGGTATTGCTATATATATATATATATATTATATACGAAGAAGTAAGTAGAAGATCAGGGTGTTGCAATAGATGTGATCTATTTGGATTTTGCCAAGGCATTTGATACAGTCCCATACTATAGATTAGTGTTCAAACTCAAGGAAATCCGTCAAGATGAAAATGCTTGTTCTTGGGTAGAACATTGGCTTAAAAACAGAGTACAAAGAGTTGTCATTAATGGTAAATTTTCAAGCTGGACAGAGGTGGCAAGTGGTGTCCCTCAGGGGTCTGTTCTGGGACCCCTTCTATTTAACATGTTTATAAATGATCTTGAAGAAAGCATTTAAAGTCATGTTTCAGTGTTTGCAGATGACACAACACTCTGTAAAATAATACAATGTGAGCAAGATATTACTTTGCTGCAGAGGGATTTAGATAGACTGTGAGACTGGGCACTCAAATGGCAGATTAAATTTAATGTTGAAAAATGCAAAGTTATGTATTTCGGCGTAAAGAATACACAAGCAACATATACCTTTAATGGAAGCGAATTAGGGATAACCACACACGTAAAGGACTTGGGAATTGTAATAGACAACAAACTATGCAACAATGTGCAATGTCAATCAGCAGTGGCCAAGGCCAGTAAGGTATTGTCATGCATGAAAAAGGGCACTCATTCTCGGGACAAGAATATCATTTTGCCTCTTTATAAATCACTGGTAAGACCACATATTGAATATGCTGTGCAATTTTGGGCACCTGTCCTAAAGAAGGATATTATGGCACTAGAAAAAAGTGCAGAGGTGGGCTACAAAATTAATAAAAGATATGGAACATATCAGCTATGAAGAAAGGTAAACAAATTTAAACTTATTTAGTTTAGAAAACGTCGCCTGAGAGGGTATATGATTACATTATAGAAATATATTCGGGGCCAATACAAACCATTGTGTGGAAATCTATTCACAAATCAGACTTTACATAAGACACGAGGTCATGCGTTTAGACTGGAAGAAAGAAGATTACGTCTAAGGCAAAGGAAAGGTTTTTTTACTGTAAGAACAATAAGGATGTGGAATCCTTTGCATGAAAAAGTGGTTTTATCAGAGTCCATACAGATGTTCAAACGGCTACTAGATGCATACTTGCAAAAACAGAATATTCAAGGATATAATCTTTCAATGTAGGGTAATAACTGCTTGATCCAAGGATAAATCTGACTGCCATTCTGGGGTCAAAAAGGAATTTTTTTCCTAGCTTGTTGCAAAATTGGAAGTGCTTCAAACTGGGTTTTTTGCCTTCTTTGGGTTTAAAAGCAAAAAACTAATGCGAGGAAGGCCGAACTTGATGGACGCAAGTCTCTTTTCAGCTTATGTAACTTTAAGTAGTAGAGTATAACAGTACCCCCCCATGTACAGGTTTTATAGTGTTTTTGAAAGTTACAGGGTCAAATATAAGGCATGACTTTCCATTTTTTCACTTTGAAATTTTCCAGATTGGTAATGTTGCCTTTGAGAGCGTATGGTAGCCCAGGAATGAGAATTACACCCATGATGGCATATAATTTGCAAAAGTAGACAACCCAAGGTATTCAATATGGGGTATGTCCAGTCTTTTTTAGTAGCCACTTAGTCACAAACACTGGCCAAAGTTAGCGTTCATAATTGTTTTTTGCATTTTAAACACACAAACAAATATAAATGCTAACTTTGGCCAGTTTTTGTGACTAAGTGGCTACTAAAAAAGACTGGACATAACCCATATAGAAAACCTTGGGTTGTCTACTAAAAAAAAATATGTACATGTGAGGTGTAATTCAGAGATTCATGACAGATACCAGTTTTACAATGTCACTATTGATACATTTTAAAAAATGTATATTTTGAAACAGCAATGTCCTACTTGTACTTATAGCAATATAACTTTGCCAAAAAAGCTAATAACATGTTAACATTGGTTATTTCTAAACTCAGGACAAAATGTAGAAACTATTTAGCACAGGTGTTTTTGGCGGTTGTAGATGCACAACAGATTTTGGGGGTCAAAGTTAGAAAAAGTGTGTTTTTTAATGTTATATTTTTTTTTTTGGTTGTCAGTTATAGGATATGATTAACATAATGGCATTTTTAGAAAGACAATTTAATGGTGAAACAAAACTGTATATAATATTTGTGGGTACAGTAAATGACTAAGTGGAAAATTACAGCTAAACACAAACAGCAGAAACGTAAAAACAGCCCTGGTCACTAAGGGGTTAAACAGGTCGAGAACTGCAACTAACCGCGTATTTGATAAAAGTGAATTGTCTGTTTTCAGATTGGCGATTTTGGCATAAGATTTAAATTTTGCACACTAGTTATTTTTATTGATAGTCTAATGTGTGTTGGGTTTACAACATTTCTCTCTTTTCACATTGCAATCATTGCAATTTAAGGTCAGAAAGAATAAACGCATGGAGACTTAAAAACGAAAACAGATACTGTTCTACAGAAAAGAAACTAAATAATTTATCCTTGGTGAGTGTGCCATGTACGCTTGCGATGGTAAGGTCAGAGTAGTAGCATATACCATGACATTTTAGGCATGAACAGCTTCAACTATGAAAATTGTTAAAATAAACATTGCTGAACAAATTCCAAGCAAATATGGGTATTAAAATTATAATTTGTATAAATGAGATTGCTATCTGCAGACTTATGAATACAAGAGGTTTATCTGAGGTTTTTAAGCATGAATGGGTTTGGATATTTTAATTGTACAAGCATTTCATTATATATATATATATATATATATATATATATATATATATATATATATATATATATATATATATATATATATATATATATATCTTTTTTATTAATGGTAAACAAAAATCTGCTTTTCCCACCAAAAGCACAAATTTGCAGTGTTACTTCCGCAAAGGATTCTCGGTGGGCATATGCAAACTAGTTCAACAAAGACTGCCATTTTTGCCTCATTCCGTTTTAAACATGGATTCCTTGGAGTCTGTTTTTGCCCACCCAGAATCCCTTGCGGTAGTAACATCACTGCAAATTTGTGATTTCTGTGGGAAAAGCGAGTCTTGTAGCTTGACTGGTGTGCAGATTTTTGTTTAACATGTATTATATCCACAGACTTCAGGTGGAAGGGGTTTTCAATCACAATTTTTCCCCACCATAACCTTTTTGGATATATATATATATATCTATCTCTCAACTTATTGATGTGTAGTCTTGAACCAGTCATATATATTAGATCAGTTAGCAATATAAACATAAAGTATATCATTTTTTAATACTGTATTAAAAAGGCACCAAATGAGTTGTCCAATTTTCACTAAAATGTATACATCCTCCTCTACATTGAAATAGTTTAAAACAGAATCTATGTAAAAAAAAAAAAAAAAAAGTCAAATTTGTTATATACAAAAATCCCTATAGACTTTAAAGGGGATAAATCATTTGAAATGTTTTTTTCCCCTCTCTGAGAATTTAATTATTTTGGATAATTAAATCAAGGCTATAGTTTCATACAAACTTATTCCACACACCACAATACAGGATTCAACTAAAATAAATCATAGCAATGGACAATAGGGCAGAGGAAATTTGATTTCATAATTTCCAAAACCTGGAGAATGGCACTTTTTGTGTCAAAAACAAATTGCTACTTAAAGCATGGATTTCTGATAAGCACCATCTACTGCAGATCAATTTATTCACTCTTTTGTCTTGGGTACCTGAATCTCAAGCCTGTCTACAGTAAATGCATACAACACTTTTGGTTGACTCCCTTGGAACAACTCATGAAAGCGGTTTGCAAAATGCATACCCCAAAATAACTGTAGAGCTGGAAAGTGAAGCTATTACCTTTACAAAGTAACCAGACATCCATCCTGAAATTATAGGCATTAGTATTATTACCATTTATATAGTGCCAACAAATTCCGCAGCACTTTACAATATTACTACGCGTCATTAATTTATTCACTTTGTTTGGACTATGTGACTTAGAAACTATAGAAAAATTAGAAGAGCGCTCAAGACAAATGCACAACAACTCACATACAAGAAAGTTACTTGGGAACACTTTGATAGTTTGAAAAGTTAAAACTGTATAAGTCATATCTGAACGTAAACTTAGCAAAATGAAATCATCAAACAACACTGATATATTACGGAATTCAAAGTGTTTTCTGCTAATAATTTGTATGGGTGTCCAATCATGGCCTTCCAGCTGTTATAAGAATTGTTGTCTCAATACTATACAGGACCAATGTTGGACACGTATAATTTAATTTTAGAAACTCAAATAGCAAAACCAGCACATACACATTACCTGGAGCAGCCCTTTATTTAAATATATGGCTAGACTGGTTGTAATCTGTTAATGACATATTAATGGCACAATGTGTCCTATGATAAACTAGCAGCATTTAATGCACTGCACCCAGTTTATGAAACATTTTACAAGCATGTTCTTATGAGGTCTCCTGTGTAATGAGGGATATTTCCTGGAAACGGCAAAAAGGAATCAGTTTTTCTACAGTGGCAAACATACTGGAGTGCTAGGGTCAAACACCAAGCAAAAAGGAAATGGAAAAAAATATTTATAAAGTATTTTAATGCATGGTTCACATCAATAAATAATATTCATAAACCCACACCAGCAACCTGACAAATGTATTTTATTCTTGGAAACCACACTATGAAATTAATTCTGTCTCCAGCAAAGGCTTTCAGTTGGAAAACTTCTCTCACTGTTCTTGCTGTGATGGATGCAACAGATATGATCATTTCTATTACTTATGAATAAAGTGTCTCACTTCAGGAATGAGGAGTGGCTTTTACCAACTGGAACCCTTGTAGTGGACATCAAAAGCAGTGAATAGAAGAAAAAGGAAAATGTGTTCATACGTACCATAATTTTCTTTTCCTGTATAGCATCACTAATGCAAACTGATGCTGCCATGTATTGTCCAAGAAAGATGGTATTAATTTGTTGTATACACATTTTTTCTTTTGAAGAAGGCTAATAAAACCCAACCTCAAGTTAATATACTACACTAAAATATGATTTATGAAAAATAGAAGTGGACAGACACTTTTATGGAAATTTTATTTGAAAGCATTTTACTTTGATTAGAAACTATTTACCAAAAATAGCATGTTTAAAAGAAAAAAAAGCACTTATGTCACAAATTAAAGCTATACATTTAGTTTTTACATTTAGTTTTTATAGGTCAAAATTTGAGTCAATGGCTCTGAAATTCAAAGAGAATATAACTGGTATACCAATGTAACTTGATTGCTAAACACACTAATTTGATTTTCTGTAGGTCTCTGCATAATGGCATCAGACAAAAAAAGCATGATTTTAGGAAAATACATTTTGGTGGCAAGTAACGTGTAAAAGCGCTTCATGCACACAAAAGAAATCACAAATCTATGTTGCAGTTTGCAAAAGAGGGAGTATACATTTTTTGGGAGGTTTATTATAATCACATAGAAACATCCAAAAATAAATCACTAACTGCAGTTTCTTATATGTGGTATTCATACTTGTTATGAACCTTTAAACAAACCCATGAATATTTGGGAAATATTTTTGGAAAATATAATCCAACTGAATAAAAGACATTACTCACAGCATAAGATGTGTTGATGGATGGGGTGAGGGAGGGCAGCGGCAATGTTCTAACAGTAGAGCAAACACAATGGAAGCCAAAAAAGAAAAAATATATATAGATCTGGGAATAAGTCCAAAAGTGGTCAGTTCCTGTATTTAATTTGTAACCGACTACTGCAACCATTTTCTAATCAAACAGATTGGTTAGATGTATATAAATAACGTAGAGAAAAGCTCAGGTTTCAAAAGTAACAAATTATAGGACAACAATATATGTATATAATTTAACCACTTGACTGACTGTGCTTCTGCATAAACCCTTTTAAATCACCATGGCCAATCAATTCAGTCGCTGTGATAAGCTTGTAATCTCGCAGGATTCGGAGCTTGCAGGGGACAGAGGGAGACACCAGTAGAGTCTCTCTGCATGCTTCCTTAACGACCGTGATTAGCACTGGGTTGTGCCAGCTAAGCAGCACTGATCACCATACGATTGGCAAGAGTAGCATGCAGGTGCTGCAGCATGAGAGGAAGATCACAGAAGTATAGAGAGCACACAATGTGCTCTGTACTGTGTGAGTGTGGAAATCCCTTCTAGATCACTACTGCGGTCAGCAAAGTAAACCCCTCAAAGGTAGTGTTAGGGTTAGATTTACAAACAGCGCAAATGTTTGATACTGCACAGTACTATGACACATAATGTTGCTTCACTAAATTGCATCCTTAGCAAAGAGGCAAATCAAAGTTTGGGCATATGTTATTTATCTTGCAAGTCCCTTAACCCCTTCAGGACCAGCCTGTTTTTGCAATGTTGTACGTTGAGGACCAGGGCTCTTTTAACACTTTTATGGTGTTTGTGTTTTGCTGCAATTTTCCTCTCTCTCATTTACTGTTCCCATACAAGTTCTATATTTTTTTTTTTTAGGACAAAAAGGGCTTTCTTTACATACCATTATTTGTATCATGTCATATAATTTACTTTAAAAACCATAAAATATGGTGAAATTTTTTTTTTTACTTTTTCTTGAAAAATCTTTTACTTACCTATGAAAGCTAATGAAAATAGATTCAACATTTTGTCCTGAGTTTTAAAACACCCAGTGTTTACGTGCTTTTTTGCTTGCAAGTTATAGGGCTATAAGTACAAATAGGAAATTGCGGTTTCAAAATATATATTTTTAAATTGTATCAATAGGGAATTTGTAACACTATTATCTTCATAAATCTCTGAATCACACCCCACATGTACATATTTTTTTAAAGTAGACAACCCAGGGTATGCAATATGGGGTATATCCAGTCTTTTTTAGTAGCCACTTAGTCACAAACACTGGCCAAAGTTAGCGTTCATATTTGTTTGTGTGTGAAAAAAGTAAAAAACTAAACTGAATGCTAATTTTGGCCAGTGTTTGTGACTAAGTGGCTACTAAAAAAGACTGGACATAACCCATTTGCAATACCTTGGGTTGTTTTCTTTTGCAAATGGTATGCAATCATGGGGGTAATTCTCATTCCTGGGCTACAATATGCTCTAAAAGGCAACTTAATCAACCTGGCAATTTTCAATGTAAAAATATGTGACCCATATATTTGACCCTGTAACTTTCAAAGACGCTATAAAACCTGTATATGGGGGTACTGTTATACTCGGGAGATTTTGTTGAACACAAATATTAGTGTTTCAAAACAGTAAAACGTATCCACAATTATATCATCAGTAAAAGTGCTGTTTGTGTGTGAAAAATGCAAAAAAAGTCACTTTCACTGACAATATCATCGCTGTGATAGGTTTTACGGTTTTGAATCACTAATATTTGTGCTCAGCAAAGTCTCCCAAGTAAAACAGTATTCCCCATGTACAGGTTTTAGGATGTCATAGAACGTTACAGGGTAAAATACAGTGCTAGCAAATTAAATACTCTGTACTTGCGGCCTGGGTTGTCAGGCAGGTCCCTCAAATTGCAATCAATAAAGTTACTTAACTATGTAAAAACATTACATAAATACGCACGTAGAATTTAAATATATATGCATATTTATATATTTGAAGTCTACGTGTATATTTATATAATTATTTATGTAATTTTGTATATGGACATTTGTATATTTCGCATTATTTTTATTTATATATACATAGATGTGACAAAATGCCTTTTGTCACTGGACTGTTAGGTGACAAGCTGCCCTTTGCCCCCGGCTGTTTGAGGAGCCTGATTGCCAGCCTCCTTCCTCATGACTATGGCGCTGGGGTTGCCATTTAAAAAGACTATTTGGGGCTTATTGCCTTCTAAAGACTGTTTCTGCCCATTTGAATCCATGAGAAGGTGTGTTTCTTCCCCTTCCCCGTTTCCTGTCTATTGTTCTGCAGCAGGGCGTTGTCCCAGGCACACTGCCAAACCAGTTGGAACTGACTGCTTTTGTCCCTCCTTGGTCTATCAACAGCCCTTGCTATGCTTTACCCCATGGCAAATTTACTCTGTTCATGGGATCTGAGCGCTGTTCACCTATATTGGGCGCTCATATCTGACCTATCCGGGGATAGGTTAAATGTGGGGGTTCTGTGTAATATAATAAGAATGATGTATTTTTATGTACTTTTACGTATTTTTGCTGTTAGTGTAAAATGTAGATATTTTCTGTACCTGGAGATAATTGAGTTTACTGCAGTGCCTTAAGCCAATTATCTCCAGGATGGAGAGGAGGGATTTCATTGTGTATGTGGGAGTGTTATTATGTTAGTGTTCCCTTTTGTCACAGTTTACCACCAGGTCCAGCGGGTGTGCCTCTGGCCTGAAAACTTGTATATAAGGAGAAAAACGCTCATTGGAGTCAGATCATCTTGTACCTTCATTAAGTTTCGGCTCATGTTTGGGGGATTGGATAACTACACTCTGGGGATTGCTATAATCACTATACTCCCCAGGGTATGATCACTAAAGCTCTGCTAAGAGCTTGTTCCTTTTCCTGCTTTCTGGAATTTGGAGAGGTTGACCTACTGGAAACTGGACCCTGGTCTTGGGTCCAGAGTGGGTGGAGACGGCGAGACCCCAACAAAGCTGCGGCGGTTCGTGGGAGTCTACAGTGGTTATGGTGTCAGGTGGAGTGCTTGGAGTCCTCGGGAAGCACTAGGAGTACCGTTACAATAGATATACATACAATTTCGTTCTAAGTGTATTTTGATAGATAGATATATATATATATCTATCTATCAAAATACAGTTAGAATAAAATGTTATATAGATATTTTTTTTTAATGTGTATTATTTTTACATGTTTTTATTTAATTTACTTATTTGTATTTTATAATAATATATATACAATATATAGTTTTATATATATATATATATACATACACGTGTAATTAAATTATAAGTGTATTTTTATATTAACATGTGTATATTAATATAAAAATACACTTAGTATGACATATTTGATATATAGACATATTATATAGATTGTACGGTGCTACGGATGGCGCTATATAAATAAAATAATATAATAGATGTACATATATAATTATATATTTTTATTAACATTTTTATTTTACACTTGCAGGGACCACGATCTATTGAGCGATCACATGGCCCCCGGGGTCCTAATTCGCCGCGGGGAGACTGCCTGGGCTGCAGGCAGTCTCCCCACACCAGAAGCAACAGCGATGAGGTCGTCAAGGGGTTAAACTCTTGGCAAATTTATATATGTGAAATAATCAAAACACGTGGGGAAAAAAAACAAAGATATGATTAAACATAACCAACAAATTTGACCGAGGTTGGTGATAAAATGGTTACATGAAAAATTTCAAAATATTATTAGCTAGTACTTTCTACAAATATATACTTTTGTATAGCTGTTTTAGATTCTATGACTGCTACTTAAAACCTCATCATGCCGATCTTTCAAAGGTTTAGCTTTAAAATCTTAATTTGTTCTAGAGCGTCCAAAAATTGTATCTTTATCCTAGTCCTACTGGGCATTTCAAATTTTTTAAATGCACTTGTTGTGTAGAAATGATTAAATACAAAATGGAGAAAACAAAAAAAGTTTGTTTTTCCTTAAAAAATAAAAATTATATATATATATTTTGATGTTATGTATACATATTGGGTATCAAAAGAAAGCCCCATTTTATAAAATTATATATGTATGAGTGCATTTAAACAGGAAGGGTGAAGCTCTGGTATAATAAATGCAAAAAAATAGAAAAAAGTGCCAAAAAAGGTATTTGTCACAAACTGGCCACATTTACAAAAATCCTTGGTCTAAAGGGCACAAAGGGCTAAACCTGCTCAGTACTGAAAACACACAAATTATTTATTTTCCTTTTTCAGTCTTTAAAAAAACAAAAAAACAAAAAAAAACATAAGCCAGCAGAATGAATGCAATTAAAGAGCTGAATTAGTAAAGGTTTAAGTAAAACTTCATAAATTGTTAAATGGCTGTGAAAGAGTTGAGCCTCCTTATATAACGAAAACCCTAACATGTACTATAAAGAACAGAGAGAAATGGTTACTGCCACACTATCATTCAATAATGTTACAAAAATACCACACTTGATATACAAAATATATTGCATCCGTACAATTTTCCCTTTCAAAGGAGACTGCACAATCAACTGGTATAATAGGTATAATAGGTGAACTGCAAAACAGGAATATTGGAAGTAAAATATCGTGCTGTTTCACCATACCAACATGTTTGAAAAAGTCTATTCATAATGTACTATAAGATGAAAGTCATAGGTAAAAATAGAAACTACAATATTTAATAAGCTCATGCATTAAGGATAAAGGGGTCTACACAGGTGAAATAATGCATGTAAAGGGGTGGATGAGGGGGGAGACATCCTTGTCCTGTAACTGGTTTACTGCCTCAGGTATTGCAATAAAGTTATTTTAAGGTCCCCTTCACAGCCCTTGAGGGAGAATAAAACAAATAAAACATGTGGTTAGTCCATTGATTAAATACTAAATGAAACAGATTAAACTCAACATTTTTCAATGAAAAATAAATATAGGTTGCAACTATTCCATGTAACTTAAAATCACTGAATCTTATGGATTTTTAAAATGTATATGCACTTCAATAAATTCTGTATCTGAGCTCCAGTTTTGGTCACTTAGCTTATTTAAATAACAGTAAAAGTTTTGTTGCACAACTGATTTGTTTTATTCAACTGGGGATCTTTCTTAATTATGGTTAGTGTGGTAACTCAAGTACCCAGTTGAATTAAGAATAAAATATATTACTTATTTATTACCAACAACTCTTTATATGGATTGTCATTGAATTGTGAAGACAGCAGCAGATCAATTAAACTTTATTGGCTATCCACTTTTAATTTAAGCACATTGTGAGGAAGCAGAAAGTATTAGGAAAGTCACCCTTTGGATGCCAAAGGCTGAATGCATTGGATTTACAACATCTGGAGAATATTCAAGTGTTTAAATAATCCAAATCATACTTTTACAGGTGAATAAACTGCATCCACTAAACAGAATCTCTTTATATTGCAGATACCTCTGACAAGGTCAAACAAACAATTAATGTAATAAAGATTATAACATTAACTTTTACATTGGTGCTCCATATATTTTCAGATACTAAACTTAAAAAAAAAAAAAGGAACCAAAAAAAGCAGCTGGTGTATTGTATATCAATATAAAACAGTAGCATGATATCTTGGGAATGGGACTAAAACATTATCAGTATTGTTCCAAATTTGATAATTAGTGTGCAGGTCTAGTTGGTACCTGTGTGCCTTTAGATGCCTTAACACAAAGTTTACAAACATCCACAATTTACAGAATTGATCTTCACTGGCTGCTCCATTAACCATAGACTAGCCACAGAAAACAGTTTCAGGTCACAGCATTCAGAAGCATTATAGTCTTTCATATTGCATCCTTTATATAAACTATTCGAGAGGCAGCGCTAGTCATAGTCCCATACAGAAATTGTGAAAAAAAAAAAATTCCCCTCATAATTTTCTCTGTCCTCAAGAAAATGTGATTACTATTTAGTCTACCACTGCACACTGCTCTTTCCTCATCACACAGTGCAAGCCTTTATTTCAGAGGGATTGAATGAAAAAGTTGTGCTATATTTACTGTGTGGTGTCAGTGTCAAACAGAACTTAGCTTCACAAGACCACGCACAGAGTCTTCATGCAATGAGTCTTGGCTGACAAGGTTCAGTACATGCATGGTATGGCTATGAGTCACAGGGCTGCTTGCTGGCAGCATGCCAGGAGGTGAGGGTGCTTCATCAGGTGTTAGAAACGGGTGGTTTCCAAGATCTTCTTTTAACGGTATCATATCTGTCAAAGTGCTCTCTGAATTGAGGTTTGGCATTGAGGAAGGTGGTGTTGGCTGTCCAAGTGCCAGTGAGGCACAAGGTGCATTTATTGTGGTCTTTCCAGGTAATGGTGGCTCATCGCTTGTGATTATTGCCTCCGTCTGCAGGAGAGGTGTAGCTGCAGCCTGCAAAACGAATTTGGTGCTCTGAATACACTGGTCTTGGTCACACTGTAGAATGGAAGGAGTATGGAGGAACAGAAATGTAACACAAAGTGTATCCAGGAAAAATAAAATAAAACATGGGCAAAAGTGAGGACAACAAAATTAGAGAAGGAAGAAACATGGAGAAAATACATGAGTTAGCAATATATGTTAATACAAAAAATATTGCAAAAGCATAGCTCATATCTTGTAGTAAATGCACTTGCTATCACTGGAGGCTACCTGTTGTACATCAATACTGCTATTAAAGGGACACTATAGTCACCGGAACAACTACAGCTTGTTGTATTTGTTCTGGTGAGTAGAATCATTCCCTTAAGTCTTTTTGCTGTAAACACCGTCTTTTCAGAGAAAATGCAGTATTTGCATTACATCCTAGTGATAACTTCACTGGCCATTCCTGAGATGGCTGTTAGAGGGGCTTCCTAGAGCAGTGCTGCACAGTAAGCAGCACTGCTATTCAGTGTCCCGACCTTCTGCATGGAGATATTGAGCTTTCCTCATAGAGATGCACTGATGCAATGCACCTCTATTATTATTATTACTGGTATTTATATAGCGCCAGCATATTCCGTAGCACTTTACAATATTATCAAAGGGGGAGATTTAACAATAAATGAGACAATTACAAAACTTACAGGAACAATAGGTTAAAGAGGGCCATGCTCAAACGAGCTTACAGTCTATAAGGTGATGATTGGCCAGGGCTGTGTTTGACTTGTGCTGGCTCTACCCCTGATCTACCTCCTTGACAGTCTCAGCCAATCCTATAGGGAAGCATTGTGATTCGCTCAGACCACCACTTCTAATGATGTTGCAGATAACAGGTCTGAGGCAGAGGCAGAGCCAGCAGCTGCAGACTTAGATACAAGTTAGATTTTACTATATTAGAGAAACAAGAGGGGGACAGTGGTGCTAGATGGTGGTTTTAACACTATCGGGTCAGGAATACATGTTTGCGTTCCTGACCCTATAGTGTTCCTTTCAGTATACGTCTACAAGCTTATCTTTATTATGTAGACTGATGCATCTTACACAACCTATAAGGAGATGTATCCAATGATATACATTTGAAGAAGGAGAAAAACAAAAAAAACACTACAGAGTTTGCAATCACATTGTGTATTTAAAGCGGCATTGTCATGCCGAACTTACCTTTCCCCAATCACTTCCTCTTCTCTTTTTCTCTCAGGATTAGTTCTTCTTTTCTTGTTATCTGCTCTAGTTTTCTTTAAAATATAAGACAAAGTAGGGACTATTTTGTCTTAAGTATTTTTCCTATGTTTGCCAGCTTTGACACAGGGGAGGAGCTAAGTACACTCCATTTCCTGTGGACAAAGAAATTTCTCACAATCCTCACCTCTCCTTCTGTGTTCTCTTTTGTTTGGATCGGAACTTCATTTGGATGAATGAAATATCAATTCTATTCATGCTGTGAGTAGATAGCTCCCTAATGCCCACGGTATTAGGGAGCTATCTACTAAAAGGCTGAAAGACCAGAATTGGTCTTTCAGCCAAATTTACCAATACTAAGTAAAGATTACGTAGTATTGGTAATTAATCTGCCCCTACTTGCTATACTGTGAGTAGAGGCATGTCTACTAAACAGTGAGCAGCCAGCCCCCCCATTTGTATCTTAGGGCCCCCAACCACCGTGCATTCCCCCTCTCCCCCATTAATAAGGGGCACTTTATTAGAGTAGTGTGTGTGTGTGTGTGTGTGTGGGGTCTTTACTGCTCACTGTTTAATAGACATGCCCCTACTCGCAGTATAGTAATCTTAAGATAGCATTAGTAATTTTGGCCTTTTAGCAGATAGCTCCCCAATAATGTGGGTATACCAAAGGAAATGGAGCGGACTTAGTTCCTACCCTGGGTCAAAGTTGGGCAAGCGTAGGAAAAATACATAAGACAAAATAGTCCCTACTCTGTCTTATATTTTAAACAAAACTAGAGCAGATAGGAATTAAAGAAGAACAGATCCGGAGAAAGGAAGAGAAGAGGAAGCGATTGGGGAAAGATAAACCTCAGCATGAAAGTGCAGCTTTAAGCAGTGATATTTAGGCTTCTCAATAACAAATGTTAAGTATATTTTAACAACCCATTATATGGTATTGTTCGCATTGTCCTATTGTTGAGGTTGCATCATAACTAGATTATTAAAATGCAAATTAAATATTTTCCCAATAGCAACAACTTTACAGCAAATGTACACGTTTTTGACATTTATTAAAATACCTATCTTAAAAGTGGTATATGTAAAATTTTACCCCTACTCCGGTCATGCTTCAACTGATAGCTTGCAAATACTAGCATGTTTTTTGCTTTTTTATTCACAGTACTGTTTATTTATATGTTATAGTGCTTCAGGTTACTTGGACTGAGCACTGGATCTCTACCCAACCAGGTCATTATCAAACCTAGCTCTTCTAGCATGTTTTTAACACCAAAGAAGCAGTCATTCTAGGTGTGCATGTTCTGTTTCCCCAGTGTTTGTTTCAAGTTCAAAACCTTTTGCAAATTCACACAATTATGCATTATTTTACCAAGGAAAGCTTACTGAATAAAGTTTAAATTAAACAAAAAGTTGTATGATTTGACATATATAATGGTGGGGGGCAGATCATGAGGCGGAGCAGAGATAAACTAGTTTGGAGATAAAGTAAACATGCATTTCCAAGAAAATCATATACACATATAAAAAATGTAATTTGTTTATTAAATATCTTGATGTAAAGTTTTTGACTATAATTTATATATATATATATATATATATATATATATAAAAATACAGTTCTCATAACTAAGCAAAATAAGCAGTCTTACTGCATATAAGCCAGTACCAGTAATCAGAACATTATTAGGTGTAAGAGCATCTGTTCTGCTGACAGATCATTAGCTCACAGCAGAGATGAATAGATTCACCGGCCATTGTGTGGTGTGGCTTGCTGAGCAACATCGAAATAAATTGCCTCTTTCATCTAGTCAGATTTTCAGAGTAATACAACTGGATTTAGAGCATTTTTTTTTGGTCACAGCTACACAGCCTTAAAAATAACTGCTTTTCAGTTATTTTACAAGGAACACAGATTCATGGGTTACATTTCTTTTTATTGAAATAAGGAAACAGACATTCCTGAATGTCATTAAATTTCCATGATTAGCTATGCTAATAACTACATATAAATTTACTACAGAAAAATTAAAAGGTAGCAATTAATAATGTTAATTAAATGAAGATTTCAGTTTGCATTAATTTAAAAAGACTGGAAAAAACCCTAAATAAAAAGTTAATTAATACTTCTGAAAATGCTGTAGATGTATTCCCAGATAATATGCCATTCCTCAGCATTTAAAGGGACACTATAGTCACCAAAACAACTTTAGCTTAACGAAGGTAATGAAGGAGTTAGGGTTTATAGTTCAAGCCTCTGAAGTTTCACTGCTCAATTCTCTGCCATTTAGGAGATAAATCAGTTGTGTTTCTGTTTATGCAGCCCTAGCCACACATCCCCTGGCTCTGACTGACAGCCTGCATGAAAACAAAATAGCTTAAAGTTTCAATCATATGTAATTTACTTTAAAAGTGTTTATCTCCTGCTCTGTAAATTGAACTTTAAATACACACATGAGGCTACTATAGGATCTAGCAATATATTAGTAGAGCAGGGGATAATAAATTCTAAATTACACTTCCTTTATCACAAATTCTGTTTAAACATTAGGTAACTTTTTGCAGGAAGTGTTTAGGAAGACTGGGTAAGTCACATGCAGGGAGGTGTGACTAGGGCTGCATAAACAAAGTGATTAAACTCCCAAATGGCAGAGAATTTAGCAGTGAGACTGTAGGGGCATAATTTATATACAAAAACTGCTTCATTAAGTTAATAGGTTGTTTAAAAAAAAAGTTGTTTTGGTGACTACAGTGACCCTTTAAATAGTGTATATTTATAAAATGTTTACATAAAATCCATTCTGACAACAGTACAAAATTACTGAAAGTACACAAAAACATAATATCCATTTGCAACCAGCGGCACTACAGAACAATGCTATACAAATCTTGCTTGCTACAATGGTTTCTAATCACTGCTTTTCAATTTGCCTTTTTATAAGCATTTAGACAAATAAACTGGCCATATTTGGAGGCAACTTTCGGGTTAAACTGTGCCAACTTTGGGGTTCAAACCTAAAGTAAGAGTGTCTTCGGGGTCCTCCTGGCACCACAAAAACTTAGTTTAGCTTAAGTTGTTTTAAAGGACCACTATAGTGACAAGAAAACAAACTCGTTTTCCTGGCACTTTAGTGTTAACAGGTCCCCCAACCCTCATGGCCCCCCTCCCGCCGAGCTAAAGGGGGAGGAAGGGGTTAAATTCTTACCTTTCTCCAGCACCGAGCTCCCTCGGCGCCCAGGACTCTCCTCCCTCTTCCGACATCGGCTGAATGCGCATGCGCGTCAAGAGCCGCGCGCGCACTCAGTCCACAGGAAAGCATTTCTCAATGCTTTCATATGGATGCTGGCGTCTTCTCACTGTAAAAATCACTGTGAGAAGCGTGGAAGCGCCTTCAGCGGCTGTCAATGGCTGGATTAACCCTAATGTAAACATAGCAGTTTCTCGGCTATGTTTACAGCAGGCAGGGTTAACCCTAGATGGACCTGGCACCAAGACCACTTCACTTTTTTTTTCTTTTTTTTTTTTTAAATAGGGTGGTAGAAATCGGGTGGTACAATCCCTGCCTCAAAAATATATCTTGGTCCAAAGAGCAGTTCATGTGCTTTGTACTTCCAGCATAGGTGGCAAAATCCCCACCAATGAAAGATGTCCAGAATATTTCTCTCTCATTTACACACAAACACACACACACACACACACACACACACATATATATATATATATATATATATATATATATATTTATATTTGAACTCAGAATTTCTAATAGGTTATGGAATGTTTCAGAAGACGCAAAGTTGGGTGAGGTGTGCCGAAGCCAACGTACGACTAGGCCTGTAATAAAAAGAGGGCCCACAAAGGTGAAATGTAATATGTAGATGGGTGTAGGTGGGTGGGGTCAATCAGCTTGAACGGCAGAGGTGAGTAGAGGCTAGGAGTTTAAGTAGGGGCCATAACTGCTCCCACAAATTCAGGCCTAATGGCCTTTTAACTAGTGCTCGGAATTTCTAATAGATTATGGAATGTTTCAGAAGATGCAATGTTGGTTGAGGTGTGCCGAAATAAACATACAAGTAGACCTGTAATAAAAAGAGGGCGCACAAAGGTGAAATGTAATATGTAGATGGGTGTAGGTGGGTGGGGACAATAAGCTTGAACGGAGAGGTGAGTAGGGGCTAGGGGTTTAAGTAGGGGGCCATAACTCCTCCCACAAATTCAGGCCTAATGGCCTTTTAACTAGTGCTTGGAATTTCTAATAGGTTATGGAATATTTCAGAAGATGCAAAGTTGGTTGAGGTGTGCCAAAAGAATAGGCCTGTAATAAAAAAATAGGGCAAAAGGATGATTCAAGGAAAACACACTTTATTGCAAGTTACAAAGCTAGACTTCTCAAAGCTTGTCGAAGCTCCCTCTCCGGTCATGGTATGCAAGTATTGTAAATAGAGGATTTCCAGCCGCCCAGTCTCTTAATGATGTGGACTGGTGTGTTTGAGCTTGATGCGGAAGATGCTACACCTATAAGATAGGAGTGACCGGAGAAGGAAGTCGGGTTGTAGCCCAACCTTGAGAGTCCTGACGAGAGATGTGAATTTAGCTGTGGTGAGTGGGTGCCCTTGGAGTACTAATAGTGGAGTGTCCAGTGAGTGTGCGTGGTGAGATACAAGAAAAATGTCAAGCACTTTGACTGGACACCAGGCATTCTCGGTAGGAAAGAGAGGAATGATAGTGGGATGATTGGTGTGGTTAGTCTTTGTGGAAGGTAATGGTACATAGTGGTCATCGACTTTCTTTAGATGAGATAGTTTAAGGTTGATGTAGTATCTACCTGGCGTATGACTGAACTCCTTAGGTCTAAGGAAGCTATAGAAAGCAATAAAGATAGCTGCCTTTATAACCAGGCTAGTGTGATAGTCGAACGGGGATTTGTCCAGTAGGTCGCTAAGTAGTCTGAAAATAGGACCATCTATTGGCAATCTGGTAGTGACAAGGGGAACTGTAACATTGTGAATACCGTTAAGCATGTTCTTAATAGGGTATGATGCTAAGAAAGGTACATGATTAGGAAAGTTAGTGAGGACGTGGTGTTGTACCCCTCTGTGGTAAAGCTTAATGGTATTAAGGGATAATTTGAGGTGTAGGTGACAGAAGGAGGCAAAAGCCACCATTGTTTTAATGAAGAAGTCTCCTTGCAAGAGAAACTCCGCAGTGAACTTATTGAAAATGGTCAGTGCCCTAGTGTAAGTGGTAGTGGTGTTGGGTGAGAGTGCGTGGTCCGTGAGTGTCTGAGTGTGACGTAGTAGCCTAGTTATGGGAGTGAGTGCAGTTCCACACATACTACTAAAAGTAGTAGCCTAGTTTGTCCATGATTAGCTCATGAAGAGGTGGTATCCTGAATGGTAGGTGGTGGGCCATGGGGAGTGCCTGGAAGAATACCTGAAAATGAGAACAGGAAAGAGCGTCAGCAGCTGTGTTACGGATACCAGGAATGTGAATGCAGACTAGATGAAACTGAGCAGTTGCTGTCAGCCAAGTCAGCTTGCGTACCAGCCTCATAATGGTGAGAGGAGGACCGCCCCTTGTTGATAATTCCGCAGGCTGCTGAATTGTCTGAGTAGCATTTTACTGCCTTGCCGGTCCAGAGATGACCCCATGTATGGGCGGCCGCCACTATGGAGTAAATCTCGAATAATGAGGATGTTTCTCTACAGGCCGGCAAGGCATCTGTCTCCGTGTGCCAGTTATCCCTAAACCAGTGGTTGACAAAAATGGCAGCAAACCCGGTATGTGCTGATGCGTCTGTGTAAATAGTAGGTGAAAGCTCTGATAGTAGAGATATTAACAGAGAGACTATATGCCATTCGGCCAAGAAGTGCAGATTCGGCCATTCGACCAAGAAGTGCAGAAGTCCACATGTGTAGATCAGCAATGGCGGGACCATCCAAAGTAATTAGGCAGGAGTCGGGCACCCCATGGAGTAAACACAGTAGCCTAGAGACGAATGATCTGCCCTGCGGAATGATCTGCCCTGCGGAATGATCCGCATCATGAAGTTAAGGGACCCCAATAAGGACTGGAGTCCCTTCCTGGTGCATGTATCACTCCTCAGGAACAGACCAATTTCGTCCCCAATGCGGGTCAATTTCTCTGGTGGTAGGCTGGCTTGGAAGGATACTGTATCCAAAACGATGCCCAAGAAAACTAGCTTGGTAGTGGGTCCAAGCGTTTTACTTGGTGACAGGGGTACCCCTAGTGTACTGAAGAGGGCTGTGGTGTTGTGAATGCTAATTGGTGTATGTGACCCCGGATCCATCTAGAAAAAATCATCCAAATAGTGGATAACAGATGGACACCTAACTGTGTTTAGGAGCAGCCAACAGAGCGTTTTAGCGAAAATGTCAAACAGCTTAGGGCTGCTCCTTGACCCAAAAGTAAGCCTGGTAGAAAAATAAAACCTGCTCAACCATGCCTTGCTGCCTGCTGTGATAATGGCTTGCACAGAGTCATCGATTTTAGCATAGTGTAATGAAAACTCCTCAGCAGGAATGAGAGAGTTTATGCTGGGGATGGAAGAAGAATGAGGTACAGAGAGGTCGATAATTAAACTTTTTTTATTTGAGTATTTGTGCACGGCCATGCCAATGGGGTTGGTTCGCCAAGATGAAAAAGGAGATCCAGTGAAAGGGCCAATCATGAAGCCTGCTTTAGTTTCTGTGGGCAGTAGGTGGTCCACCGTAAGAGAGACGTTAAAAGCTGAGAGCAGGTTAGGGCATTCAAGCATGCCTGTGGGGATGGTGATGAGGCCCGTGTGAAAACCCTGTGAGAAACCAGACACCAAATGCCTTACTGGGTGGGAGTGTAGTTAGTAAGCCACAATATCTACGTTGACCTCGGTCAGTCAATTTTTTAGATGACAGTCGGGCCGGGCACATAGTCAAGCAAATGGAGCAGACATGCAACAACCGACATGCGCTGAAGCTGCATGCACCAGCGTTAAAGTTATTGCACACCGGCACCTTGCCCGGAAACGCAATGGGTCTGCCCAGCTTGTCCCTCAGCCCACCTTCTTGTCTAGTGTGTGGGGTGAAGGAGTGGTGAGAAGAGGAAGGGTCTGCCTCGCAAGGGCACAAGTCAGTGGAGTGGGATGTTGAGCTACAGGTGGCACAGGACGGTGGCCTCAATCCGGTAAAGTGTCGGCAGACTAGTTCCATGTCCATCTGGCACCAGTCGATTCTGATTTTAAATTGGGCCAGATGAGTTGCTGCCTTGGCTGACACGGACTTGGGATAGTCATAGCAAGAGGAACCCCGTACTTAATGCCTAACTCAACCACCTTATTATTATTATTATTTTATTATTTATATAGCGCCAACAAATTCTGTAGCGCTGTACAATGGGATGCATGTAGAGATCAAGCTCTTCCCTACTGTGAGGATACACTGAGCAAATTACATCTCTATAAATCCCAAAAGCTATCACGAACTGTGGAATGGATAGCTTCTTGTTCAGGCGTGGGTCTTACATACCACTGAGATGTTCATGTAATTATAAGCTTGGTTTTCAAGGACATCTTGTGAGGCAATGAACTAGGTTCACATCCTTCCCATCCAGTTTATCCTTTTTTATGGATGCTGGGACCGAGTGAGCAGGTGAGACATATGGGGTAGTGGCTGTGGTTGGTGGGTGGGGGGGAGAGGGAGGGTGGGAGCGGGGCACAAGTCAGCAAAATAGGGATTACCAGAGGAGGACCTGAATGGCCTGGTAGGTCACCTATGGCAGTTTCCACTTTAAACAGTCTACTATTCATGGTTTGGAGGATGGCCAAAATAGCCGACAGGGTTTCCTGCGTGGAATCGGAGGTGCCGGTAGACCGCCCTTGGGAGCTATTGCCAGGTCAATAGTCTGTATAGCTCTGCCTTTCTAGCAGTGGCTGAAAAGGGGAGTCTAAGTCCAGCTGCAATTTTTGGCATAGTCTAAGATCTCAGGGACATAGGGGTAGAGGGGGTAAGGGATTCTTCCGGTGACCCGGGCCTGGCTGCCGTGATGGGTACTTCATCCTATGGTACAATCGATGGGAATTGATTCTTGTGACATTCTGAAAAAGGAATAATGATTTAAATTAGGTAGGGGAGTGTGGAGGAAGAATGAGACCTTCGGAGAATTGGCCTGCTAACTAACTTAACTATAGTCAAGTGACAGGTGGGGCCCTGCTAATGCCAAGCGGCGGTAAGAGGCTCTACCTATGGTTTGGGCCAAGGGAAGTAGAGGCAACTGACATGGTGGCGGGATGTTGGCCTCTTGATGATCATAAGAGATTCAAATACGTGTGGCCGTGACTTTGGATGCCCTAACTGTAGCCCTAAAGAATGGCGAGCGAGGCGGCTAACTATGATTTTGGCCCTGTGGCTGAACCTCCGTGTTGCGGTTGGGAGTTGGCATTGTGGGACCGGTAAATCTACTTAGGTTAGCTAAGGCCAGACCCTATCGCTGTATGCCAGTTCTGTAAACCTGCTGGGGCTTGTCTCCTAAATGGTGTACCAAACACATGTGGATACTAACCTTGAGTATTACTCTCATCACTAAATGTCTTGGAAGAATAGCCGGCCAAGGTATCCAATGGGTAAGATAGATGCTGGTGGGCCCAGAGCGTGCCACTGGATTATATGATGTATGTAAAAATGTTAAACGTATGGAGAGGTGTGTTTCAATGATTGTGTAACACAAGAACCCGTGTAAGATGAGGGACCTGTATGAATGTTGGTCCATACATAGAGACGAGCCCCTAATTACCAAAGCTGAGTGAGGTTTTGAGGAGAAATCGTAATCAGCGAGTAAGATTAACAATACCTGGTACTGAAATATAGGATACCAGGTTGGCTGTCGGTGGTTTAAAAGCGCAGGAAGCTTACAGGGACTGCGGTATTAACGCAGGTTTAGGTAATAAGCATAGATATAACAAGTGATGTACAGTTATTAATTTGCAGAAGCAGTGACATTGGTTGGGAGGGGATTATGGGTGAGATCATAGTGAGGGGTGTCAATGTGACCTATGCAGTAGTTTGAAAACCCGCCTGGGGAAGAGGTGGGGGTTTTCCCGTGGAGGCTGAATGAGGCCTCGGGGCAAGATGGGTGTAATGAGTGAATTTCTATACCTGATAATGCAGGACAAGATACCAGGTTGACACTTCCCGAAGTTTTACTTGAAGGAAAAGCTGAGGAGCCTAGAATCATAACATAGAACAAAGTACTTTAACAGTTATAGGCTGAAAGAAACAGTGAGTGTGCCATTGGTAGGAACTGTGCCTGACGTGAAATTAACATTGGTGGTTGAATTTGGGAGATAGACATGAAAAAGTTGTTGCATGGGCATAGTACCGAAGTAACAAACGTATGACCTTGTAGGAGTCACATCGACATTTAAATGAAAAGCTAAACATGCAGTCAAAAAGAAAAGGAAGAGTAGATTAATATTAACCTGCGTACCACAATTTTACCACATGACAGGAGGCTTCATATTTTAGCATATCTTTCTTTACTGAAAACTCCAGCAGCATAGAAACGTAACAACCAATCAGAAAAAAGTTATGATGCCCATAAAAGGCCCTGTCTATGACATCACTCCCTCTTTCTTTGCTGCTCCAGCCATACATCAGGTCAGAGTATTTTACCTCTCTGGTAGATTCTTAATTTACACTGTTTTTTGATTGTCATTCCACTAAATATTACTCTATTTATTGCTAACACCTGCTACCTTGGCCCCCCTTATTCCTGTCCCTTCACTGTATCCCTCTGTTTTTCCCCCCTTTTTATTTCCACCTTACTGCCTAGTATCCGCGGGCTCAACGACTACCCGTGTCGCGCTCGCCTCGCGGACCGGCCCTTCACTTACACAGGGGACTGTATGGGGACGGGTGGAGGTGCATTTATCCCCTTTGTTTTGCACCGCGCGACCGCGATCCGCGGCGCACCTTCACATGTGGGCGGCGGCCATCTTGGATCTCGCGGCTCGCAAGATACCCTACGGCCGCCTACCCTGCTTGCTCGGTGGATCGGGAACTCACCCGACCGCCGGGCTCCACAAGTGTATGCTCCCCCATGTGAACAATGGGAGAGTGCAAGCTGGATTTCAGTTTTTTCTCCATGTATTCTTTCGATGTATTTTGCCACAGTGCCTGCCAACAGTGTCTGCCAAACAAATACTTACATGCAGGCATTAAAGGAGATTATGTCTTTGTACCTTACTCAGGGTCTATACCCTATACAGGGTCATACCATATTACTATACCCTGCACCCCTGTCATACTATATTACTATACCCTACAGGAATCACCCGATCACCGCGCCCTGCATCTGGATTAACCCCTTCAGGGGTCCCCCTCTCTGGGCACATTCATTTATTGATACAATTATTATTTTTTATTCTCATGGATATATCTCTCATGGTGCCTTACACTGGATGATTATATTTTGAGCAGGCATACAATCTATGTATTATTGTGAAGCCATACAATATCACAGTCGTTATACAAAACATATACTGTACCTATAACAAGATCAACTATATCACTGTACCCTACGAAGGGCATATTGTGTCACTGTACCCTACAAAGGGCATATTATATTATATAATTGTACCCTACAGAGGGTCATATTATATTACTGTACCTGACGGTGCAAATTTATGTGGGTGTCCTCTGGGTATTTTTTCATGGCACACCACCTGGGGTGACCCCCCAGATATGCATGCAAGGTCACTGACAGACCATTACCTTTGATGTGGGTGTCCTCTGGGTTACCATGGCACACCACCCGGGGTGAACCCCGATCATATGCACGGAGGCCTACGCCTCAACTTTACCACTGATTACTACAGACATATATGGATGTTTAACCCCTTAAGGACCAAACTTTTGGAATAAAAGGGAATCATGACATGTCACACATGTCATGTGTCCTTAAGGGGTTAAACACTGCCTGTCAGTTTTACATTAAAGCAACAGTATCATGCCGGATGCGATTTGACGGCAGGATCACTAAGAAAACTGCGTGTATTGCGGTGTACCCTTCACAGGGATACATATATGTAGATTTACTGTGCCTAGTGTACATATTGAACGTGGGTGTCCTCTGGGTAATTTTTCATGGCACACCACCTGGGATGACCCCCAGATATGCATGCAATGCTTGTAAGGTGCCAATAATTATAATATGGGTGTCCTCTGGGTTACCATGGCACACCACCTGGGATGAACCCAGCCTAATAGACATGGGTCCTGCGGCTGCAGACCTTATGGAGACAGGCCCCATGCGCCTATATAATAAGCCTGTATAGCTTAAAACCGTGCATACAGCTCTGGCGTACATTTGTGGTGAACCCGACTAGCCAGACCGACACCACTACCAGTCAGTCGCGCCTGCACCACGGCTCTCAGTAGCCAGATTAAACTAATAGAGGTGACCCCTCTACACTTGTCACGAGTATTCATACTCTCAGACATACTAAAGCAGGCAATTCAAACCGTTTTACCTGGGTGATTCCCAGTTCTACCAGGAGTCTAACACCCCTACGTGCTGACCCTCACACTATCTCCCAACAGGACGGGAACGAGTCATGGTGGACACTTTCAACGTTCCCAAGATTTCTAGGCAATGATAAATGCCACAGTAACGGCCTCAGTGGAGAAGGTTCTGTTACGAACTCTACCCCACACCGCTTGATGGAGACCTCAGGCCCACAAGCCTTCAAGTCAAAACGGCAAGGGAAGGGCTCCAGAACCCCTGCCACTAAGGTCAAGGGCAAGACGCCCATCGAACATACCAAATAGGGAATCCAAACCCCATCCGCCACAATCTTCCGACAAAGAAGACTATTACCCACCACGTACTTTGGACATGGTAGATGAGCGACACGAAGACAGCTCACCGTCTGAGGAAATGGAACGGCAGGACCTTCCCCACATTTCCTCGAAGTACGTTAGGGAAACCTTACTCTGTGACGGCGGCTGAGGCAGAGATAACTGTAGGGGCACTAAACCAGAGTAGCCGAAGACGGAACGTTCCTGGACGAACACTATTGGCTGCACAACCCTCGGGGGATGGAAGGATGTGCACGCCTCAAGACCGAGTTACCCCAGGGTACACAACTCAACCCTACCACCTCCAAAGAATGGTCTTAATGCTCGATATGCCTCCCGGGCAACGTAAATGACGCACTATGCGCCGACAGATGCATATCTGGACTGGGCCGCATCGACAACACACTATTGGACTTAGGAACGACAAGAATTCGGCCCAAAAGCACAAGGCCTACTATTCGACGTAGTGTTTATTGCAGTACTCAAGAAATACGTGAATTTATTCACCACACTAAATTAAACCCAGACCTCGCTAAAACAAGTCTTCCACAACCCTACGGGGAAAGGTGTTTCTGGGAGGACTGGTCGGTAGCTGAACCGAGCCACCAGCCGCTTCTGGGCGACAGGTTCCAGATCGTATACACAGTCCTCATATTTCTCCCATCTACTACACAGAGGAACCCATCCGCTTTATCTACTAGTGTGTCAACCTACATAACTGTTTCCAATATTATGACCGGCAACCTGTCTCTGTTTTACAGAATTGGGAGACGACTACCAAAGTCACCTGGGTTCTCCAGACAGTACAAGGCTATGTCATAGAGTTTTATCACAGCCGTGCAGGTCGCACCTTCACCTCCATTACGCACACTGGTGGAACAGGAACGCCTTGTGTACAAGAAAATCTGCACCCTCTTCAGGAGGGGCACAATTCAACATGCACCAGAGGGGAAGGCTTCCCCAGTAAATTTTTCCTGGTCAAGAAGAAGCCAGGAGACTACATCAATGGAACTCCTACATGGTATACAAATGCTGCAAGATGGAGGAAATTCGTCTTCTACAAGACCTCCTAGGCGATAACGACTGGTTTACACATCTGGACCTCAAGGACGCACGCTTGTCAGTACCCGTTGCCCTGGACTGCGTAAGTTTTCCTCCGATTCCAATGGTGATGACAAACACGGCAAGTTTACGACTCCGTGATGCTCGCGAACCTACTGTAACCAGTGAGGGCACACATCCGTAAGTTTGGGCGTGCGATGCCTCGTATACCTGGAAGACTTGCTGATTCTTTACGAATCCTGGCTACGTTTGCAGACAAATTTGTCGTTCACTTTCGGGACTCCATGGGCTTTTTGTTGTACACAGACAAAGATCGCTTCTCCATCTGAATCGGGCCAGTTCCTCGGTTTTGACATCGGCTTGGAGAACTACGTTCCGCGTCCATCTACGGTAAAGAGCGCCTCTATAAGGATAGCTGTCAGATTGTGGGATTCCTCTACTCCTCTCCTCCTCCATACAAGCGTTATTCCCTGGCCCACTACGACTGATGGTGAGATACGTACGCACCGGTCACTCATACGACCACTGGATCCCACTGTCAGCGGAAGTGAGGATGGAATTTCGATGGTGATTACTTCACATACAAACTTGGATTGGCAAAACGATCTTTGACTCTTCCTTCGGATACGGGGCGATGGATGAACCCCTGCAAACGCGACCCAGCCGTTCTCCACAATAGCAAGGGTGCTTCGATACACACACACACCCACAAGATATCGCTCCTGCTCATGACACCCCTCGGGCAGGGCCAACCGTGATTTCCCGGATCGCCTGGAGATGTCTCGCGAAGACCCTCTACTACTCCCTACCTTCCCTCTACTTCTGCCTGTACGGCTTCAGGGGCTCCTGGTCAGTTCACGACCTATTGCATCAACTAAGACCTCCTATGGGACTCATAGGCTCCCGGCACCAGGAAAAGCTATATTTCTGCCTGGTCGGCCTGGAGTGATTGGTGTGTGGAAAGGGATTCCGATCCCTTTACCGCACCTGTCCCACTGATCCTCAACTATCTGTCACACCTGGTCTCGTTGGGTCGGTCATATCGATCCCTCAACGTGATCAGATCCGCCATATCGGCGGCGCACGTTCCGGTACAGGGCAGACCAGTAGGTCAAGATACACTGGTTTGTCGACTACTGCGGGGTGCCGAATTGTCGAGATCCCTGCACCCAAATATTCACGCCTCTGGCAGGTGGATGTGGTGCTGAGATTCCTTAGGGAATGGCCGGACAATCCTTGTTTGTCACCGAAGCAACTTTCAGCCAAAGTAGCCCTCTTATTATGCCTCGCCTCATTTAGACGGTGGCGGACATTAGGGCTTGCGATATGGATGGTTTCTCTCTCACACCAGACGGGGTTACCTTTACCATGTCGAGACGAACTAAGTCTGATTGGTCTTCAGTGTCATACCCATGCTTTGTGCCAGACGCCACACTACGCGTGGTCAGAACGCTAATAGGGTACACCAATATCTCTACCCCCTTCGAACTCATTCGACGGATCACCTTCTGACTTCTTACATGAACCCTAATGGACCGGTGTCTACCGCAACACTGGCCAGATGGGTCCGCTGGATTTTGTCTTTAGCGTCGAACCTTGTTTCGGAGCCCATTCGGTCAGGGGAGTGGTCACTCGGTCAATGACGCTTCCCTAGCCGACATTATACGCTGAGCGGACTGAGCGCGAGAGAGTACGTTTAGAACGTTCTATTTTCGGCAAACATCTCATGCTTCCTTCACATTGGTCAATTCAAAGCTTTAAAAATGCAAATATGAAGCCTCCTGTCATGTGGTAAAATTGAAGATTATATTAGCTTTAGTGTACTAATAATCTTAATTTTAGTAATGACAGGAGGCGAATATTTCCCACCCTATAGGATCCCTCCCATGTTTCTCGTGTTGAACAGAATATGTCCTTTATGTTCAGGAAGGTAAGTACGTATGGTTTGTATGTTTGCTACTTAGACCTGTATCTTGTGGGTCTTGTATTGGCTGAATATTAGACATGAACCTTGCATTATGTTGTGTTTATAGATTCTTAAATATCATTGCGTTAGAATAAATATATATTGATATGTTTCACATTCTAATGTTCGTTGGTATATCAGATGCTTAATGCTTATTGTATGCGGACAAGTTATCACGCCAGATACCTTTCACCTTTTTCTTTTTCTTGCAGCGTGAACGTCTTCTCATCGAGACAAAGATTCACCTTCCATACCTCTGCATCGTGGAACTAATGGAGTTGGATATTCTAATATGTTGTTGAACTGTTGACGTAATATGATTATGTCTCTTGGCTGGAGCAGCAAAGAAAGAGGAAGTGATGTCATAGACAGGGCCTTTTATGGGCATCATAACTTTTTTCTGATTGGTTGTTATGTTTCTATGCTGCTGGAGTTTTCAGTAAAGAAAGATATGCTAAAATATTCGCCTCCTGTCATTACTAAAATTAAGATTATTAGTACACTAAAGCTAATATAATCTTCAATTTTTTTTTTTACATTTTTTTTTTTGTTTTAACTTAACAAGTGAAATGAAAAATGAGGACGCATAACCTGTACAAATTTATAACAGGCAGAAAAAAAGTGAATGATAATATGTAGTGCTTTGATCGTTCGTACGACCGAACGAACGGGATAACAGGAACAATGTAATACAAGATAAGGGGTTTATAAGCAGGGAAACAGGCTACCGTTCGGCTTAATTACACGACATGTAAGAACTACATGAATACATGGTGACTGCGGTCGGCTGTTTGACCGCACAAAAGAAATGAATGAATGTAAGTATATTAGATACAGTGATCAGTTCATTCGTACACACACACATATACATACACACAAACACACACACACACACATATATATATATATATATATATATATATATATATATATATATATATATATATATATATACACACACACACACACACACACACATTAATTAGTATGTTGTGTAGAGTGTAGAGGTGTGGGAGCGGTTTTGCATCGAGTTTTGGAGCCATCCTGGAAATTGTTTGCAGTTGTTTTGGGATTAATTAGTTTTCAATGCAACCGCGTTTCGATTTACAAATTTTTCGCAATAAGAAACGTCCCGGAGAACGCATTAAATTTGTAAACCGAGGTCCCACTGTATATACACACACACACATTTACATGTTAATTAACAGTAGTTAATTAGTCGAGTGTAGAGGTGTGGGAGCGGATTTTGCATCGAATTTTGGAGCCATTCTGGAAATTGTTTGCAGTTGTTTTGGGACTTTTTGGTGCATTTCTCAAGCTGTGGAAAGGTAGGGAGCTGAGCTTCGTCGTTTGCATGCCTTTTATTGTGTGTTCTGCATTGTGGGTTGGTTTCCATGCTAGCTTATTTTGACTTTTTTTCTGACCTCCAGAACAGATTAATTGGTTTTCAATGCAACCGCATTTCGGTTTACAAATTTTTCGCAATAAGAAACGTCCCAGAGAACGCATTAAATTTGTAAACCAAGTTCCCACTGTATATACATACAAACACACACATGTTGTCATTAATGGTAAATTTTCAGGCTGGACAAAAGTGGTAAGTGGTTTCCCTCAGGGTTCTGTTTTGGGACCGCTTCTATTTAACATATTTATAAATAATCTTGAAATAGGCACTGAAAGCCATGTATCAGTGTTTGTAGATGACACAACACTTTGTAAAGTAATAAAATGTGAGCAGGATATTGCTTTGCTGCAGAGGGATTTGGATAGATTGGGGGACTGGGCACTAAGATGGCAGATGAAATTTAACGTAGAGAAATGCAAAGTTATGCACTTCGGGGTTAAGAATGCACAAGCAATTTACACCCTAAATGGTAGGGATACTAGGGATAACCACACACGAGAAGGATTTTGGAATGGTTATAGACAACAAATTAGGCAGCAATATGCAATGTCAATCTGCAGTTGCTAAGGCCAGTAATGTTTTGTCATGTATAAATAGGGGCATAAATTCTCGGGATGAAAATATAATTTTGCCTCTTTATAAATCGCTGGTAAGACCACACCTTGAATATGCTGTTCTAAAGAAAGATATCATGGCATTAAAAAAAGTCCAGAGACGAGCTACAAAATTGATAAAAGGAATGGAGCATTTTAGTTATGAAGAAAGGTTAAAAAAATTTAATCTGTTTAGTTTGGAAAAACAGGGCCAGAGAGGGAATTTCATAACATTATACAAATATATTCGGGGCCAGTACAAACCTTTATCTGGAAATCTATTCATAAACAGGGCTATACATAGGACATGAGGTCACACCTTTAGGCTGGAAGAAAGGAGATTTCATCTAAGGCAAAGAAAAGTTTTTTTTTTTTTTTACAGTAAGAGCAATAAGGATATGGAATTCTCTTACGTAGCAGGATTCAAGCCCCAAGAGCCCACAACATTTATTACCGAATACAATAACCAATCAAATGTTATTCAAAATATACTTAAGAAACATTGGGGTATTTTGAAAAGTGACTCTACACTCTCACGAATACTGGATGATCAACCTCAAGTCATTTTTACAAGAGCACCGAACCTGAAATTTATGTTGGCCCTAACTTAAAATCCAGAGTTTATACGAAGGACAAGGATGGAACCAAGGGATTCCAAAGATGCAAAAAATGCCAAGGATATAAAAATAATCCCTCCCAAGAAGTAACAAGTTCTAAATTTACATCTTTGGAAGATCTAAAAGAATACAAGCTGAAGTCTCATATGAATTGTAATACCTCAGATGTCATCTATCTCATTACCTGTCCATGTCCAAGACAATACGTAGGAAGAACGAAGAGACCACACAAAGTAAGGATCGCCGAACATATTCGGAACATTAAAAAAGGTCTACCTACACACAACCTATCAAAGCACTTTAAGGAGACACACGGTGGAGATCCTACTGGCTTAGAATTTTTAGCCATAGAGAAAGTTGACACACACTGGAGATGAGGGGACCTAGAAAGAAACTTAGATCAAATAGAAGCGAAATGGATCTTCTCCCTAAACACTTTAGTGCCGAAAGGTCTGAATGTCGACTTTGAACGGAATGTTTTTTTATGACAGGAGCTTTTTTATGACAGGTCCTTATTTCCCATACTATTTTTATTTTGGGGTTACATATATCTTCTATTTTAGTTAGTGACAGGAGGTCTTTTCAAATAATACGTATCCCAATATCTGTTTTACAGTCATGGCCCACTTTTATCTTTATCTTTTTATCCTTCAAGATATTCATTTTCTATTCTGATCTCTCCATTTTTATCCTGTAGAGGAATGTTTGTCCTCATTTTTAGATTTTCCATTGGATTGATTTTATTTTATTTTTCATACTTCTCCCTATAAGATCAACAAAAAATAGTGTAATATTTTTCCTTGTTCATTTAAGGTGCCAGATTTACTATATTTATATTTTTATTCATGTAATAGCCACCTAATACAAATTTTATGCATAGAAACTTTCCATGCTATAAGACGTCACTATGTGTGGAGATCTTTTAACAACAGACTGTGAAGTTTGAAAAGTCAACTAAAATTTATTTATTTAAGCAGTATACAATTACACTTTGATTTCTACACCCCTTTCTTGTTCTTTTTGAGACAACCATGTAATATAGGTTTTTATACAACATATTTCTTTTTCTCTCTCTCTTTTTTTTTTTAATTGCACAATGCTCTCTACTTTTGCATGGCACTGTATTCTTTACTCTACGTACCTGTATCTACTAGTACTTGTCAGTTATGTGTACATAACAAATACCACAATGGTAAATGATAAATGTGTTACAAGTTCAACCCAAAAAGCCATTTAATCCATTTATCGGCAATTGATTGTTTTTACTTATTTGCCAACACTATTAGCCCCCACACTGTTTAACAAAATGAGTAAATGTAGTCTTAAAATAATCCTAATTATTCTAAAATGCCTTTCATAGTAACGTTATATATATATATATATATATATATATATATACACACACACACATTCCATTTCAATTGCCTAAACACACTAGGCAATTCTGTGCGTGCATTTCGAATCTCACTGCTCGTTTTGTTTTGTTTCCCTGACATACCAGGCTCACGGTTCGTGCAATTTTCTACCATACGGGAACTAGTTCATGCATTTACTATTGTACTACACACACGTTTCGTGCGTTTACAACCCACGAACAGAACTTTGGTTTGTTACATAGTTACATAGCTGAAAAGAGACTTGCGTCCATCAAGTTCAACCTACCTCACATTTGTTTTTTTGCTGTTGATCCAAAAGAAGGCAAAAAAAAACAGTTTGAAGCACAATTTTGCAACAAGCTAGGAAAAAAATTCCTTCTTGACCCCAGAATGGCAGTCAGATTTATCCTTGGATCAAGCAGTTATTACCCTACATTGAAAGATTATATCCTTGAATATTGTCAAACGGGCACTGTTTGTTTCCTTGTCATACAACTATAATGCTGGGGCATAGCTCACGGACAATGTTTCACACAAACCACACTGACCCCTACAGGTCACTCTCAAAATCTCACGTTAACCTTGCATTTGGATTAACCCCTTAAGGACCAAACTCTGGAATAAAAGGGAATCATGACATGTCACACATGTCATGTATCCTTCAGGGGTTAAAGGGTATTTTACCATACAATCAGCATTTCTGACCCCTACTTGTCAGAAAGGCAAAACTGTCATCACATGTCATATACAATAACCAGCCAATATAAATTACACATAAGATTGTTTTAAACATAACCATAAATCATAAATTAAACTCCAACACGGGTTCTATCAACACTGCCACTTACAGGTCTGTCAAGTACATTGACAATTTTCATGGGGTTTTACAAACACCAAAACACTGACCCCTATAGGTCAACAGACAAACAACATTTCACATACCAATCAGTATCAACTACACTGCCACCTATAGGGCACTTGGCAGATCTCCAGTGCACTTGCATTTTGCAACACCATGTTCACTGACCATTCAATAAGGCATACAACAATTCACATAGCAAGCAGTATATCAACATCTGTTATAAATACAAATATTATTACACAGTAGCATATGCATCTGTATATACGCAACTGGTAATATGGTTCACATACATACAGCACTTAATGGGTTAAGATTGATACATATTTAACCAGTATGGATATGATGTTTAATATTTACATATCACGGCACTTTACTTTCACATATACTGTATGTTTTAAGATACATATCACGGCACTTTACTTTCACATATACTGTATGTTTTAAGATAAGCTTGGTCTATGCCATATTTCCATATGCCATACGATTTTATCCATTCAGGTTACAGTTACTACTAAAAAACCTATAAGGATTGTCAGGTTCAGTACCATACTACCAGGTACGTACACCTGCTCACGTAGTTATCCATCTCTTACCTTCCCTGGAATAGTAATAGTGTACTGGCAATTAGGGTTCTAGGGCCCAATAGGTATTACCCCCTTTTTCTCTGCATTATGCTTCGGTTAGTGGTCCCGCGAGGCCAACACCCCGCCTCACACTCGGAGGCATACACCCCTCGGGCCACTCGTGAGCTAGTCGCCTCGCATTGTATCATAGAGAGGACCTCACCTGTCACTCCCCTTCCTATTTTCTGGTTACTGTCACCTAGAGGCCAACATCCTGCCACAACGTTCGGTGGCCACACAAAATCCCCTCGCGCCAAGCATAGATAGAGCCTCTCAAGCCACTTGGCAACTAGCAGGGCCTCACCAGTCACCAAAAAAAAAAAACCACCAAGCCTAATCGTTTCGCCTTACGGCTTAGCTAGCAAGCCGGTACAAGACCCCTGGGTACACATATATAATTGCAATCTTTATTGTTATTTAAGTTTTTCTCAAAAAGATGGTAAAGAATCACCTCTTCCTAGCACCCCGGCTAGAAGTGATGCACCTTCATCTCTTACCTTCCCTGGAATAGTAGTAATGTCCTCGCAATTAGGGTTCTATGGTCCGATAGGTATTACCCCCTGTTTTCTCTGCTTTACGCTTCGGTTAGTGGTCCCACGAGGCCAACACCCCGCCTCACACTTGGAGGCATACACCCCTCGGGCCACTCGTGAGCTAGCCGCCTCGCATTGTATCATAGAGAGGGCCTCAGCAGTCACCAAAAAAACACCAAGCCTAATCGTTTCGCCTTACGGCTTAGCTAGCAAGCTAGTACAAGACCCCTGGGTACAAATAATAATTGCAATCTTTATTGTTATTTAAGTATTTCTCAAAAAGATGGTGAAGAATCACCTCTTCCTCGCACCCAGCTAGAAGTGATACACCTTCAAGTAGAGGAGATGTGGCTCCGACCTAAGGAGTCCACAGCAAGGAAAGCAGAGTTATTCAAACGCCTCCATACATCAACGGACAACACGGAGGCAGGGGAAGGCCCAGCA